AGCAGAGTTGAAACAGTTGGACGGAGATGCTATGAAGGCGGAGATACAAAAGTTGACAGATCTTGGAGTGGTGAAGGTTTTGACAAGACAACAAATGGACCAAAGTGGAAAGTGGATTGACCTGAAGGAAGTGTTCGATTGGCGATTTCGACAGGGAAGCTGGAGGAGGAGATGCAGGATTGTGGCCAGGGAGTTTCGAACTGGACCATCAACAGAAGAGACATTTTCCCCGACCTCTTCTCATGCAGTTGTTCGCCTTTTCCTTTTGTGTCACATCTTTCAAGGTTGGAAGTTGGCAAGTCTAGATATTTCAGATGCATATCTCACGGTTGAGCAGAAAGAGATTTGCTATGTTGAGATTTCGCAGTGGATGAAGGATTTGCTACAGTTGTCTCAAGACACCATTTGGGAGCTGAAACGCGTGTTGCCTGGACAACGCAATGGAGCTCAGAGATGGTTCCAAGACTTCACGAACAACCTACAAAAGATTGGTTTTTATGTTTGCGCAGCTATGCCTTCAGTTTTGAGACATCAGACCCGCAAGATTGTGATCAACGTTCACGTTGATGATGAGTTGATAGCAGCAGAGACAAAGGAGGACATCGAGTGGGTGATTGGAGAGCTGAAAAAGCATTACAAGTTGCAAGCAGAAGGGCCATTTCCGGTGGAAGGTCTTGGAGGAGGAGAAGAACTGTCTTATTTGAAAAAGACATATGTGTTGCAGCCTGACGGTATATACATTAAACCGAGTTCCAAATTCACAGACAGTCTGATCAAGTTATACCAGTTGCAAGGGAGAAAAGAAAAACAAGTTCCTGAGCACAGCATGTTGATGCAACCTGACACAACAGCTGATTTAGATGAAGAACGACAATCAGCTTTCAGAACAGGTTTGGGAACAGCTATGTATATGTCGCATGATCGGTTGGACATTCAGTTCTGTGTGAAATCATTGGCTGGTTTTATGCGAAACCCGACGGAGCAGGCAGAACGGTGTTTGATACAGCTCATATTGTACCTCAAGGGAACAGCAGATTTGACATTCCGCTTACCTTACACCCCTCCTGGAAGCAAGATGGCAGGAAGGCTGAACAATGTCACAGAGAGTGATTTTGGTGGAGAAGAACATGTGATGGAGATTTTCTGCGACAGCGACTGGGCTGGAGGAGCAGCACGAAAGTCGACTACTTCAGTTATCGTGCTGTTGAACTCTTTGCCAATTTTGCCGTACAGCCGAACACAGAAGGCAGTTTCGTTGAGTTCTTGTGAAGCTGAAGTGTTAGCCCTAACTTCTGGGGCCAGTGAAGCCATTTTACTGAAAGAGGTGTGGCAGTTCATGATGGGGGTGCGAGTTGAATTGGAAGCAAGAAGCGATTCATCTAGCGGAAGGCAGTGGTTGCAACGTTCTGGGCTTGGAAGGCTCAAGCATATAGATGTTAGACTTTGCTGGCTACAAGATGCTGTGAGGAATCAGGTGCTCAAGGTTCTTCCTATAGCAACTCAAACAAATATTGCAGACCTGAACACAAAGAAACTCTCAGCAAGCCGGCGAAAGTTTTTGCTATCCTTTCTAGGAGCGGTCAAGCTGAATGGAGAGAATGAAGTTATCGAGAGTATTGGTGAAGATGAACAGATTTCTTATTTTGCTGACCAATATTGGAAGAATCAAGTGCAAAGAGCATGTCGCTGGGTACACAACGTGAACAACAAGAGGTTGGCGCAGAGTGCTATCTTGATTCAAGCTTTGAGTTTGAAAGGTTGCATGGACAACGATGAGCAGGTGAGCAACAATCCAGACAAACAACATCAACAATTTTATTTGACCGTCATTGTATTGCTGGTGTTGGGCCTTGTCAATTGGTTACATGTTCATTGGCATGAGATGGTAGCTGTTTTGACTGGCAGGAGACAGAACAAACGAAAGATGGGAGAAACATCAAGAGAAGAAGAAACCATGGAAGAAGGCAGAGTCGAAAGCAAGGTTGAGGATCGAAACACAAGAGTGAGACCTAGGTTGGAACTTCCCTCCGCATCAGGAGCAAGTTCGTCGAACCAGATTCCAAGTGACAATGCCCCAAGTCAGATTCAAGGAGATGATATTCCGAGAGCTCCGAGATTTCCGCCACCACCTTCGACCCTTCAGCCAAGGTGGGCACCCTGGAGTCCTGAATGGTTTTTGTATTGGATGGCTGGCAGAGTGACAGGGAGACTTCAAAGAGAAGAAATGACAGAAGCAAGGCGGCGCGCCTATGAACAGCGCAGGAGACTTCTGGGCGCAACGTTGGCCGCATTGGAGTTGGATCATAGCAGAACAGTTCGGATGAGAGCCCATGAGTTTTGCTTCAATATGACAGACCTTTCTCCAAGAGACGATTCCCCTGAGTTTTTCACGGATGGTGAGGAGGCGCTTCCAGTGGACAATGCAAGATGCGCTGGTGAATTGATTGGGGGAGAAGATCAAGCTTATTTTGACCCTGACAATATTCCTTGGAGGAACTACGGGACAAACAACCCTGGAGCAAGCAGAAATGAAGTTGAACATGAAAATGGAGAGCATGATGATGATGGAAATGAAAGTGGAGAGAGTGAACAGGAGTCGGAAGACACGAGGGTAGCACGATACCTTCATGCACCGCTTGATGAGGTTTCGGATCAAGAAATGTGGATGAATCTTCATCATTGGAGCAGTGCAAGTGAAGACAACGAGAGTGATCATGAAATGAGTCCTGTCGAACATACAAATGATGGGACAACAACGACAACAAACAATGGTGAGCCGGCGGATGAGCCGAGGATGGAAGATAGTTGATTTTGAATTTCAATGCGCATGAAGACATTCGTTGTACCAGCTGAACCAACGAATTGTCGATACGTTGACACTACGGACAATGCATCCATTTGTCGAGCATTGTACAACAGAATTCACAATGATTTCTTGTTGAAATAGCACTATGGTGCCGGAACGCAGTGTACAGGGTATGCTGAACAGAAAGGTGAAGCGGCCTTTAACCTACGGCCACCTAGATGATGGTGGTGCTTCACTTAGAAAAGCAGAGCAAAGCTTAGCTAGCACGCGAAGCTTTGAGGCGGCGTGTTAAGCTTTTCTAGGCTACTAGTTGACCTACGTGATAGGAACAGTTGTCACTGAGTTGACTTGTGTAGTATCTGTTCTTATCGATGGATCGTCGTAGCGCGTGTGGTTCAAAAGGGTCCGCTGCTTAACATACCTGGTCAAATTGTGCAATTTGCAGATCAGGAAGGAGAAACAAGTTCCAGCACATCACTTTTCAGGCCGCCCAGATGCATCTCCAAAGCTTGATCGACAAAGACAAGCAGATTTCCGAACGGCCTTGGAACGGCAATGTATATGTCTCACAAGAGGTTGGACATCCAACATTGTGTCAAGACATTGGCTGGATCCATGGTAACTCCAACAGAGCATGCTGAACATTGTTTGATCCAACTTATTCTGCATCCCAAGAACGCAGCAGATTTGTCATTCAAACTTTTCTACACTAAGATTGGCACTAGGATGTCTGGAAAGCTGAACAATAGCCAGAGCATGAAGTGGAGGATGAGATCCATGTCATGGAAATTTATTGTGACAGTCATTGGGCAGGCAGTTTACATCGAAGATCAACAACATCAGTGGTCATTCTGCTGAATAGGTTAGTTGTTTTTCATACAACCGAACTCAACAGGCAGTGTCGTTTTCTTCGTGAAACAGTGACGGGTCTCAAAATGTTGCAAGTGCATAGCAGACCCAAGCACCACCAAACTCACAGCAACACGCAAAAGTTTTCTGCTCTCGTTTTAGAGCTGTACGACTGGATGATGACATATGATGACAACAAAGTCGGGGGAGAAAGAGAGCAACTCATTTATTTGCAGAGGAGCAGTGGAAACAGCAAATCAGGCAAGTCAACAGATGGTTAAAAGCACAGACAAGGTCCTTAGATCAGTGTGCACTTCTTGCCCAAACGTTGATTCTGAAGGGGTGCGGAGCGCCGCGCGTGGCTTTCGTGACAAGCTGCGGCGTGCGTGGCCGCCGCTGGGCCGCGCGTGTGGCAGGCGCAGTACACAGAGCCTCCCGGACAAGCTGCGGCGCGCGTGGCCGCCGCTGGACGGCGCGTGGCTTTTATGTGGCACGCGCAGTAGACAGAGCCTGAAAGAGGTGACGAAGAAGAAGACAGCGATCAAGATGTGCAACAACAATTTTGGATGACTGTTGTAATATGGCGATCGGATGCTGCAGTTGGCTATATTTTTACATTGGACTGACATTGTGGTTGTTTTGGTCGTCGTGGATGCAGGAGAAAAGTGGTTGAGACGTTGGAACAAACGAATGACTTCCATTATATATTTGAATGTGCAAAATATCTCGGCGGTGGAACCATCCGAACGAACCCTATGACCTTGTATGCATGGAACGTTGCTGAATTAGAACGATATTCTTTTCCTTCACTGCAGTCAGGATGTACGAGGTCATGGCTTTGGAGGTTTGGAGGTTTTCATGTTCACACAGCTTTACATACTTCTTCACCTTGGTTGTCTTAGGGTTTTTACTTATAGCAAGCCGCAAATCAATGCCGCACGCATTTCCCGACTGTGTGAGAGACGTGGTGACTCTCTGTCAAAATTTGGGTCAAAGGTCATGTTCTCATGGTTAGCTGGAAATGCAATGGTGCAGTTTGCGTTGGTTTTAGTGAGGTGAAAACTTTGGGAAGCTAACAGTGAAGTGAAAACAAATTGTGTGATTGCCATGTTGTGCTGTAGCCGTAGCCGCTGGTTGTTGTCAAATCAAGATGGGTGTCTTCATTGTACTTTAAGTGCATGCTGACAATGGAACCACGGGCCGACCTATCGAGTGGTAAGAGGAATGCTTGCCTCATGACAAATCATGCGTTCAAACGAAAAAAAATACATAAAACGTTAACGAAAACGCATATAGGCATGATACGGCCTTTGTTCCAGTGGAAACCCGAGCACCCAAGCTTAGAAACTACTCTGCAAGATATTTGCGTCGGCACCATGATACCAGATCATTCTGTGCTACATGCTGCGCCAGGTGCGTACAGCTGTATGTTGTGTGTAGATTTGTTCGAACAATTCCGCAGGCTGATTTCAACTTCATCGTAGTTCAGGCGTTTTTGACCGTTTAATGGGTGGGAAGTCGGAACCTATGTTGTTTTGAACGCTGTGGTGTCACCTGGCCCAGTTGGCGGTACTTGGCTTTTTGCTCTGGTGGTACTTCGCGCCCATCAAGAAGTGGGCATTGGTGAGGCCGTGCCAATTCTCCGTTTTGAGTGCCACGTGTTAAATGTAACAACCAATGAACCATGAAGTTAATGCAGGAACCTGGAATATGTTTCAATATTCTTGCTCAGACTGCACAAACTAACTTTGCTAGGTACAGGATTGCCAGAGCAGCCTATTTGAAGGCTAGTTGCGCAAACATTTGACACACACACAATCATGCTTTTGATTCGTGACATAGAGTTTGACTTGACAAGAAGGGTCCTTACTCGTCTCGTTGGACAATCGCATGCCAGGTCCACAGCCGAAAAAGACAATTGGAAGAAAAGCAGGATGAGGGCATCAAAGTGCGTCAACTTCGTCGAATCAAGGATTTCAATACCGGTTGGGTTATGATCAGGAGCAGCAACATGTTGAGGATTCTGAAGAGAAACAGGCACTGTACTGTATCACATGTATCTCTCAAGTGCCTTACTCCTTTGGAAGCTTTGCCACTGCAGGCAGTTGAATCTGCGGAATATGTTGCAGGTGCCTTGCACGAGACAAAGGAACCCAGTCAGACCGTTTGTTGTTTCTGAAGGTGATTGAAAGGGTGCGACATGCATCTACTTTGGAGCCAACAAAGTCTTGATATGCATGAGCAGCAACCCGAACGAGGCCAAAGTGCCCGCCAAAGGGGCAAAAAGAGCAAGGCGACAAAGCTGCAGGCCGAAGGAGGTTTTGCTACAACATGACAGGGCATACTTTTCTACACAAAATTCTACGTTTGCCAACATCGAAACAATTTGCTCAAAAGTATGCCTTTTGATTGCCTACCAAATGCAGGAGCTCTCAGCTGCTCGATTGCTAGACGCGGTCCGGATCTCAGGGCTGGCACAGTGCATGGCACATGACTTTGTGGCACATCCTTTGCCTTTTGCAGTACGCTATTGGCCTAGGTAATTTCATCTGACTCTGACGCTTCGAGCGAACCGGAGGAGGTTTCGACTAGTCATTGGTGCTCGCCGCATATCACAGACATCAATTCCAGGATTGTCACAAGTGCCAACAAGATCCTGTCCAAGAAGTACAAAACCGAGGAGAACAAGACAAGCTTCTGCTTTGCCAGACTCTCCCGCTTCTAAGTTCCAGAGGTACGTCATAGCAGGAGATTCTATTGTAAGTTGGCTGTCCATTCCTTTTTTAGTTGGGCAACTCGTCAACGTAACCCTAGTTGCAGCCAAGCTTAATTACTTTTCGATGGTTACTTTCGTGTCAAGCACATGGCATGGTTGCCATGCTGCTGCTGCTGCTGCAGAGGAGCAACGGGATCCTTGCTTTCAAGAAGTGCAGAGGTGAGTCTCAGGTGTGTGCGTGTTGCCTTTTTGCCCTCTAAGCTAAGCAGGTGACAATCATGCACGAGCTGAGACCGGGAAAGGCATCAACGAGTCAATTCGTCAACAGATGCATATTTGTGCCAGATTCATTGGCTTTGTTTTCTTCCTCACTCACCTGAAGTTGAGGCAGATCAATCCGTTCTGAAAGCAATCACATCAATATCGATGGACCTGTTTCAATGTGATGTGTGACCCTGTCATGTGCTGTGCCTTGATTTAGATTGTGGCAGCTTGTGGCATGTGGCTGCCAGGTGGGAGCTGATCTCCAAAAAGAATAGGCTGAAAGTCTCTGCCTGTTTGAGATGTTGGGTACCCAGCCTCCGATTTCGGGTACTGGGGAATTCAGAACTCACGCATTTCTGAGGGACCGGTTCTGACTGGAAGGCCGCTGGAGCTTGATCTGAAGAGAGCCAGATAGAGTGAGAGTGGGAGGGTGGGAAGGAGAGGGAAAGAGGGAAGGATCTGCAGAGCTATGTGCTTGTCAGTTTTTGCATCGGTTTTCATTTTAGATAGTACAGGCTGTGGGCCTGGCTCTCTACCGAGTTCAGCACATGCTCCAGGTGGGGAGTATCGGACGATTGATCAGTCGTGCAGAACAATGCATGTACCTTTACACTTGAGCTAACCATGCGTAGACTGCTGGCATCACATGATAATTACTTCCTGGGCGAAATGAACTCGTGTAATTTGTGCCTCGCTCATGGATGCTACAAGCTGCTGTCAGGTGGTGTACGTTGGGGTGGAACCAGAGTACCGCCGGCAACATGTTGGGCGAGCACTGGTTTGCCTCCCAGATATTATTATCTACTTGTGGCATTTTTCACATGTTCAATCTAATTCCGTTTCTTGAGCAATACAAAGCCTGCTCAACACAAGTACATTTTGCAAGCTCTTGCAGGTGAAGGCGTTAAAAGAGCTTGGAAGGTGAGATTCTACAGTGACGTTGACATTTTGGCCAGTGTCTCTTTGATTTCGATCAGGAAAGATCTGAACTGCACGGGAGTTGTAGCAGTCGTGAACAAGCATGATTTCCCTGAGGTCATTTGGCTTCTTGATTTGCTTCCCCATTCAAGCAATGCATTTCGTTTGTATTGATGGGAGGCAGTAACATTCTTCAGAGCTATTGGCTTCAAGAAGGAGGAACTCAAAGGAGACCCAAACAAGGCAGCTTCGGCAGAACTGTTGCCATTCTTCGTTGTCGGCCAAACGTCAAGCAGAGTTTCCCCAAAATATCTAGGACACAAATCATTAGTGCGTGCGCTTCTTCAAGAAAGCTCCCCCTGCCCCAGGCGGGGGGAGCTTCCTTTAAGAAGTGTAAACTATCTTGCGTACAGTAGGTAGCAGCTTAAGTAGCCTAGTAGCTTACTTTGCCCTTACTTGTATAATTATATAAGTAAGCGCCTACTCAATTAAGTAGGAGCGGCTAAAAAAAGAGCTTTTGGAGGTAGGCCTGAGGATGGAGATCAGACGACAAGGAAAGCGTTTGAACCTCAGAGAAAGGTTCTCGCAAAAAGTCAGTTGCCTTGACACCTCTTGGATCTTTCGGCAAGGCAAGTCCGAGGGGTTGCTGACTGAGCACTGAGCTTCTTGTTTGCCTGCTGATTCCCCAAAACCTGTCATGTTAGTCAAATCAAGGTCTGGAGCTTCTCAAGGCACTTGCTTCCCACTGGAAAATTTTTTATGTGATTGAGTTTCGTTTCGCAAATTCGTTTTTATTTCTATTTTTGCGAGGGCAATCATTGCTGATATGGGAGTAGGTTTTGGCGCAGGCAGACAGTCGCTATCAGATAGAGACAGCATGATTAGAACTGAATCATTCACATTTGCACAAACTTTTCATCGTTGGAAGCGAGCCGAACTTAAAGCTGATGGCTCCACGCTGGCTTGGTCCTGGCTCATTACGCACTGGTGCAGTTGTGAGTACTGTTCTTGGCATTGAAATAGTGCTGTTACTGTCACTATGGGATAACACCAGTGGAAGTACAAAAAAGGCTCTATCAGATGCTGGTATTGAGCCGAGCATGCGAAAGGTCTGACATAGAGCAAGTTGACACGTACTGACCACTCATGCTCCTGGTCATATTGCCGTGAATATTCTTGCCAAAGCCATGCCCTCAGTATTTGATCCATGCTGGTTCAGCAGTATTTGCAAGCGACTTGAAGTAAAAGAGTGATGTCGGACACAGGGTCAACATATAACAGGAACAAGTGCCACGCTACTAGTAACAAGTGCCTTACTAGTAGTAACAAGAAGCTACTAGGAACAAGTGCATGTCTTCTTGAACACTTTTTAAAGAACCATCTCCGAAAGGCCTTCATAGGGCGGCAGTGCTGCTGACAATGCCTGATTCTGCCAGGGACTCGGTGCACTATGCACAAGTTCAATTACCTTTGGCTTCTGCTCACAAACACACATCCTTCTGTTTCTAACTCGCACCTTGCTAGGTCTTGTCAATTAAATCTCTGTCCTTGATGTCGAATGCTGCAGACATATGCCTGAAATGTCAGACACAGGGTCAGACGCCTGACAAGAAGCCAGGACGAGAAACAGTTCTAGATTCATAGGCTGGTTTTCAGTCAAATCCCTCTTTCATCTGTACATTCATAAATGAAGCCATGGCAAGATGCGCCGTGGATGTTCATTCGCCGGAGTTTTTGGCCACACTCTCCGTTGCATTTGAGAATATGAGCGTGGCTGGGTTCCGTCGCACTGAGCAGAGAAGGAGAAAACCCAAGCAACCCACCTCAAAGCCTTCAAGAATTGGCTCACGAGCTTGCGGGCGCATTTTGGTGATTCTAATGCAGATCTTTATTGCGTTTCAGATCGATGGTTTCTACCGACTAACCCTTCCGTGGTTTGGCCTCGAAGAGAGATCTGTATTGGATTGCATTGCAAAGCTTGTGTTCCTTTCTGTCGGTGTACTGATAGAGGTCTTTTATTCCTGCACCAGTTTCATTGATCCCGGGAGTCCCAAGATTGATTCCCAGACCAAAGATTGGTGCAATTGCTGCATGGCGCCAAAACCTGAAAGATGTCATCATTGCAGCACGTGTTGTCGTTGTGTGCTGCGAATGGATCATCATTGCATTTTCACTAACTGCTGCGTTGGCAGACACAACCAGCCATACTTCTTGGTTTTCCTGCTCCTGACAACAATTGGAGCCGCGCTGGCAGCACTGACCGCTGCTCCGCAAATACCTGGAGCACTACTCTCACTTTTCCTTGGAGAAGATGTCAAACACGTCAGGACGCTCCACCTCCTCATACTCGGCATCTCTGCAACTTGTGCGTTTCTTCTTCTCTGGAATTTGTTGCTGGCACAGCTGCACCTGCTTTTACGGAATGAAACAACCATTGAAAGTCTCAGAAACTGGGCGGAGAGGTGTCCCAGTGCCTATGATAGAGGAGTTCGGCAAAATATTGCTGAGATTTTTGGCACACCATCAAGGTATGTCCCGCAAGTTATACTAGACTTGTTGGACGGAGCCGATCAATTCCTTTCTGGAGATGATTGAAGCCAAAGACCAAACCCTTAAAGCCAGGGTCATCAACAGTCATCGGTATGAAGAAAGCAGAGTGTTTGTGACATTTGTTTCAGTTTGAAGAACACTGAAACCTTGATTTTAGTTCTGAAGCTATGCAATAATGACACGTATTTTTATAGCCTGAAGGACGCGGTATTGGAGATTCACCGAAGACTGGGACCTGGTTTGAAGATCGTAGTCTTGGGCAGCCAAGGCCGGCATTTGTACAACATTTCAGCTTACCAACTCAACCGGCAGACCAGACTATTGTGACGATGAGCAAGTGATGCCCATCGTGAAACAAATCAAATTAATGCCAAGAAATTAGCCCAGCTGGAGACCCCAATAGCAAGATACAAACCGGGACAAAAAGAAAAATCTGGAAACAGTGACAGCTGCTGTTTTCAACACATCGACCATCTCTTCCTTGGACACCATCATCACATAACCGGGACACCATCACAAAATGACCAGGGCACCATCAAA